ATGAATTGAAAGAAAGTATCATAAATATTCTCCATCAACTCATGAAAAATTTAAATGAACAAATATATGAATTGAAAGAAAGTATCATAAATGCTTTCCAACGACTCATAAAAAATTTAAATAAAGAAAAGCAAGAAAATGAACAAATTAGAAATGAAACATTATTCCTTGAACAAGAAAATAAACGAATCATAAGCGATTATTTATTTCTTAAACAAGAAAATCAACGAATCAGAAATGAAATGAATAACAATATCAATGCTCTTCAAAAGCAAATTTACCAAATGGAGTATACGAGACTGCAATTTAAAGAAGTACTTCAGAAAGAAAGGACACGGTTGCGAACAAATTATCAAAACGGTTTTAATGAATATTTTCAATATTATAATGATTATTTTCAGAATTTAACACTACAATCAACGGAAGAGATTAGACGATTAACGGCAATGATTGAAAAGAAGACACACAATTAAAAGTTTCAAAAAAATTTTTGGACATTAAGATTAAGGACTGCAGATCTCTGGAAGAACGTAATAAAAGCTTAGAAAATCATATAAAAATACTTAAACAATCAAAAACTGTCGAATCACCTGAATCAATAAGAAACGTGATCTGAAAGTGACATTGAAATTATTGAATTGAAAATCGATAAACTTATACATAAGCAGTTAAATTTTATCGGATTAAATATAGAAAAGGAGTCACTTCCTGCAAATTTCCAGGAACAAAGAATTAGACGAATCACGTATTTATGAAAATTTATGCAGTGCCACTTCATGTGACCAATCAGTATTGCGCAAACAGATTGGTCACATGAAGTCGCGCTGAATCAATTTTCGTGATTACGTGATTCGTCTAATTCTTCGTTCCTGGAAAATTTGCCGGAGGTGTTACCTATACCATATTTATTGTTCTAGTTTAGTAATTTTCTCTTGTCGCTAGTGCCGTCCAATTTGGTGTTCTTGTGATCCGGTTAGTTTTGTTTCATGCTAGCTTTGATAGGTGTTTCTTTTTTGTCACTAGCATAAATTTTAGTTTGTAAATTCTTAATATTTTTAATTTATCAGATGTATTGTTTTGTAATATCTTATTACATATCTCTAAAAAATTAAATTAATAAAATAAAGTTACTTTACATATAACTGATAATCAAAAAAAATACGGACCCGTGCCGCTAAGTCATGTGATTTATTAGGATTAATCGTTAATATTTTTAACTTACTTTTTTTGCTATCTAAATTAGCTTTACGTAAAGCTTCTATAATAATATCCAATAAATTCTTGTTATCTGGCATGATGTGACAGATACATGGGTATTCGGCAGGATGATAGCAAAAGCACGTGGCCGAAGGCC